AAACCCCCACCCCTTGTGTTGACTGCAGTGAGAGGAGGAGTTACAAAGCTTGGCAGTCAATCCTCCGCCTCCTTCTTGATCATGTGGCCGGTTTAATATGGCTGCCTCCATGCCGGTCCCGTGTTGTCCTTTTGCTGCAACAGTGATAGCTGTGTTACTCAGCTGCTGTACGTTAGCGTTTGCTGATGGAGTGCAGGTACGCAACGGGGGAAGCGCTGGTTACTGCTTGCACGTCCGCGGGACAGGTTTCGCCCTTGTTTCCCCCCATTTTTTTTTATCGCTTTGCAGTTGCAGGCGCTGCTTGAACGTTTCGATTCGCATGGATAAGAGCTCATGTTTGCTGGGAGGAGTTTCTGTGATGTCGGGCAGAGCAAGGACAAGGTTATTCCTTTGGACTACAACTCCCAGAATCCCCAGATAATAGAACTACTGAGCGTGTCTTAGCCCAAAAGGAACTTGTCGCCGCTCTGCTCTAGACTCAGTAATTTACTGGTTTGAACAGGCCCTGGGGCTTTGAAAAGAAAGGGAGCCGGGTCGGACAACTAATTACTGAGAATGAGAACGGAGATGGTTGATGGAAATAGATCCCGTGAAACAGCTCCTAATACAGACCACAACCATTTGCAGAAAGAACATGCTGCGAGCCCACTTCTATTGAGGAAGATAGGATAAACTGGGTAGTGAGATTGGCCCTTCACAGAGAGTGTGAGTTGTGTCTTCCTCCTGATAGCTCATTTGATGTAGCTTGGCAGGATTGGGCCCATTGTGCTTGATCTTTGCCACTGCCCATTTTCTCAAGGGGCCAGTCCAGGCAGGGCTGTAGAAAGAGATAGTTCATCATGTGTGGAAGAGCCACCTTGTCCTCTTGTCTGCACCCTTGTGCCCTTCCTTGGGGCTGCGAGCAGAGGCATGGCCAGGACCAGCCCTGCTATCAGACAGAGTGCCTCAGGCAGCTAAGGCTGAGGGACAGAGCAGTGATCTGACTGTTTCTCTTGAAGTCTGCTCTACTGCTTTTCTTCATGATTATATGCCATTCTTTTTTTATTTACTATATTTGTAGCCCATCCTTTTTCAATGGAGCATGCATAGCTGTTCTCTTGCTCCTCAATTTATTCACACAGTAACCCTGTCAGGATCAGTTGGATTGAGAGAATGACTCAGTGAGTTTCATAACTCAGAGCTATGTGTGCCACACAACCTGTACTGCAGTCCTTTTAGCCTGTCCCATTAAGTAATACTCGAGAGTCAGTATAGTCAGCTTCTGTACACAGGTTAAGGAAGGGTTCCATTTTATTCTTTGCCCCAGACAGCAAAATGTTGTAGGTTAGGCTGGAAGTGACTATTCTCACAATGGACATGCGTGACTTAGGCTCCTTCATTTCCGGTGGCCCTATTGGGTCATCCCTACTGTAGTAGATAGAGAGATGGAATCTGAGTAGAGGAAGTCTTAAAGGGAAAGAATAACTGAGGGGTTTGAAGCTTTGGCAACTGCTGCCTCTTGTCTTTGCTTGCCCCATCCTCATAGTGTTGGGGAGGCTGAGTTGAAATAAAAAAAGAGGGAACAGTGGCCTCTTGTGTTGAGATTAGACATGGGCGCTCCTAGTCAGATAAATGGACCATAATATGCCTCCAAATGTGAAGTCGGCATCTCTGATATCCCATCCTGTTAACTCCAATTCTTATTTCATAAATGGAGTTAAAACAAAAATTATTTGGGGTCAGGCTGCCAACTTTTTAAATTAGCCATAGTACTGTTAAATCTAGGTAGACTGAACTGGGGCAGAAATCAACAGCTGACATTTCTTCTTCACAGCGTTTTTATGCTAGAAAAAGTGCTTTTTCCACTTTTGGTTACTTTTACAGATGTTTGAAAGTGTTCCACAATGGTTTCTGTCTATATAAAGGGGCTAGTAACATCTTCATGCAAATAGGCAGACTTTGACCACATAGTCCTCATTTTATTGCACCAACGCCCCATTTCATACAGATTGGAGCTGTTTCTGTTTACATGTGCATAGGATGGGAACAATTGTGGAATGTTTTGAGTTCAGGCCACTGCGAGCCAGTCAAGTTACTGTGCTATAAACCACACTACATGGATTGTTTTAAAGGGGTGATGGGGAGACATTGAGTGCTCTGAATGTTTCTGAAATACAGTCCCCATCAGCTCTAGCTGGCATAATTACTGATGTGGGGAACCGCAACATTTTTGAGAGCCACACTCTCCCTGTCCTTGATTTATGAAGTCCCATCATGCATTCTAGCTGGCTGGAGTTAGCTATCTGGCTGTGAGTTAGGTTGTGCAACCTCTGGCTGTGGAGCCAGAGGTTGCAGTTCAGTTCACTGCTGGGCATCCCAGAAGAGCAAGTCTCTGTTGGCCTTGCACAAGCTGCACAATGGGACTCGCAAGCAGTTTCCGAGTACTCTCAAACCTAGAAAATCCTGGCAAGCATTGTCCTAAGTCAGAATTGGCTTGGTGGCACTTAATTATTATTATTATGCATGCTGACTCAGAAATATAGTTGTTTTGAATCCCGTAAGTTTTATTCCTGGCTAAGTTGTACAGCTAGGAGAGGAAACCTGTGGTCCTGCAGATGCTCGATTCTAAGTCCCATCAATCCCAGCCAATATGGCTTGTGATCATGGAAAAAAAAAGTTGTAGTTTATTAAAACATAAGAGATCCGTAGACCATTCCTTCTTGTTAATGCTGATCAAGCATACAAATGGTTTTGAAACAGGAAGGCGGGGGAGAGAAGAGAGATCCACAAACGGACTTCTCATCATTCCTTTCCTTCGCTTCCACCACCCTAGTCCCAAACCTCAATTCACAGTATGAAAGGGATAAGGAGTTACTCCGTGAAAACAATCAAGGAGATGAGAAACCCCCACCCCTTGTGTTGACTGCAGTGAGAGGAGGAGTTACACGGCTTGGCAGTCAATCCTCCGCCCCCTTTTTGATCATGTGGGCGGTTTAATATGGCTGCCTCCATGCCGATCCCGTGGTGTCCTTTTGCTACAACAGTGATAGCTGTATTACTCAGCTGCTGTACGTTAGCGTTTGCTGATGGAGTGCAGGTACGCAACGGGGGAAGCGCTGGTTACTGCTTGCACGTCCGCGGGACAGGTTTCGCCCTTGTTTCTCCCCCTGTGAATACAAAGCACCCATGTCTAATTGGGATGAATGGCAAAGCAGCGGGGGTTTGATTTTTACTGGCTCCAGTTACATGCTGGTGTTCCAGCCGCAGGGAAAATGAAGACAAATGAGAGCAGGGCTGGTTAGCAAAAGAAGGTGCCCTCACATGATGATTTATCTCCTGCTTCTCATTAGGATAGGAAGGATTAAACATGCAGTACTTGTGAAGAAAGCTGTTACTTCTTCCAATTACTCTCACCTATTTTTACTCTGGGAGGCTGTGGCCCAAATCTTCTTCTGTAGTTATGCTAGTGTAGAACAAATAGCATCACTTTTGGAGATGAATTACCTCAAGTTAAGTAATTATGCTGCCTATGCTGATTTCTTAGTGTGGGACTATTTGCTTCCAAATGTTACATCATTTGTGTAGCTACGTAAGGAAGAGAATTTTGGCCTGTATCTGTGCTGTCATTCCTTTTTTTTGGCACACTGGAGCAGAAGGACTAGTTGATGAGTGACTGAGTGACCACATTGTATTAGGATGGTAACATTTGGTGCTTTGTGTTCGTGTGCTGATGCTTCTTTATTGTCAGCTGCCACATTTTCAGGTTTGCCTCCCCCCCCCCAAGAAGTTGGGGGATGTATCATGAATGTTCCACTGGAGCAGAAGGACTAGTTGATGAGTGTCCACAATGTATTAGGATGGTAACCGTCGGTGCTTTGTGTTTGTGTGCTGATGCTTCTTTATTGGCAGCTGCCATATTTTCAGGTTTGCCTTTCCCCCCTGAGAAGTTGGGGGATGTACCATGAATGTTTTCAGCAACAATTCATTGCCAGGTGCTACCCCTGTGGAAAAGAAAAGTGTTTTGGAACTGCTTTGTCTTGAATGTACAATTAAAACTGATTAACTTGACAAAAGATGGGAATTGGTGAAATTGATCTGTCTCTGTTTTTGAACTCTTCTAGGCTTTATGGGTACAGAGGTGGGGATGGTAATTGCCTGCATTTCAAAGTTTTCCTCTGCACTTCTGCAACATCTATCTGCTTGCTTCACCCCCTCTGCAAACCTTCAAGAACAATATTAATTACATACTAATATGTTATAATTCTTCTACATTTGAATTCAGTAAGCAGTAGTATCCCTACAGCTTTATTTTTGAGATTATTTGGTGCATTCTTCTTTCAGAATCAAGCAGAACAATTTTTTAGGAGTGGACATACAAACAACTGGGCGGTTCTGGTAAGTTTCTAAATTTTCCTCCCCTCCCCTCTCCATCACAAAAATCTCTTTTCTATTACTGGGATTCATACGTGGCCACCTCCAGAAATAAATATAGTCCACCACCTGGCATGTGGAATTGCATTTTGCCCTCACACATTAGGCTTGGATTAGACTGGATGGGATTGATTTTAGCCTGTTTTGGGTGGGCTCCACAGAGTAACAGTGGAGTTTAAGCAGTTAGAAACATACAGTATTTCAAGCAGTGTCCATCACCTGGATTTTTGAAAGGCAAAGTGTAAAAAAAAAAGTGCAGTCTAGAAGAGCCATGTGTGGTGCTTTGTAATTGTCTCTGTGTGCACATGGAGAAACATCATTGAGAGCAGAGGAATTTGTTTATTTTCTATGGTGCCCATCTGGCAACCCATGCCAGTCTGGCCGGTTTACACAGTGCGACAATACAATACAATACAGAGCTGAACAGTACAGTAAAGCGGAACAAGAAGACTAATAATCAATGCATTTTAAACAAAGTGGAAATAATACCAATAAAACATTAAAATGAAACATTAAAATAAAATAAAATCTTTGAAGTTTTTGCTGCAGTCACTGGCACTATTGAAGAAAATATGACTCTTAATCATAACAAGCTTGTAGCCATACTTGAAAGACACCTCTAGCTGTCTGCATAGTTCTTTTCTGTATATTTGTGTAGCTTTGTTAGGGTTTTTAAAAACATTTTCTTCTGTTTTCTTTCCCAATAGAAATAAAATTTGCACATTACTCAACATAAGTTGAGGTTAAGGGTGGTGGGAATGAAATAGAGGAATGGCTTGTGAGCTAAAGGGAAGTATAATAGTATGGTAGCATTCACTGCACTGTAAAATTGTAGGGATAATTGGTTGTCCTTTTGCAAGTATATTACTAGCATCATTCATCCGTGTAGTAAATTGATTTCTTATGACAGACTGCTTTGGTGCATTAGAGCAGTGTTTCCCAACCTTGGGTCACCGGATGTTCTTGGACTAAGAGTCCCAGAAGCCTTCACTCCTAACTGTTCTGGCCAGGATTTCTGGGAGCAGTAGTCCAAGAACATCTGGGGACCCAAGTTTGGGAGCCACCATGTTAGAGCCGTAAAATTCATTTCCCCTTTTTGTTAACTATATAAATCTCACCTCCACTTCTTAATTCATTCAGGTTTGCACATCTCGATTCTGGTTTAACTATCGCCACGTGGCCAATACCCTTTCAGTTTATAGAAGCGTCAAGAGACTAGGCATTCCTGACAGGTAAGACGTAATTTCTGAAAGAAAGAATGCAAAAGGAGTCTTAGATTGAGTACTTACCGCAAAAGGAGTCTTAGATTGAGTACTTACCGTGCATCGGTTCCATTGAGATGATCTTTCAGTCATTGTGGGAATGACACATTCTTAGAGGCTACATTGTGGTGCCACATCTGCCTGTGTTTACTTAACATCCAGGGTCTCATACGATCTTGGCTTGGTTTCTAATCAATTTGCTGTTGATGATTTTTAAAAACAAACATTGTTATCTTCAAGATGCTTAGACTACTCTACCATGATTTTGTAATTGGCCTGACCCTGAGATAACAGAAAAGGTAGCAGATAGGTAGTGGATCAGTGGAGGCTAGAACCTTGATTTTCTAAGTCCCAAATCTGCATTTTATATTAATCACTGCCTCTCACTGGAACAAATTCTGTCTTGTAAATGATATTTTAAAAATAAAAGTAATAAAATAAGTATTTAACTGCGTTCAGCTGGTCTTCGGTTGCCCAGAAAATGCTTTTAAACTTTTCTACCAACATCGGGCATTTTTGCTGCTTCCAGATCATCTGCCATTCTCTTCTGAGTGGTCATTTGAGAATGCAGTCAGCTGTTGGGCCCTGCATATCTAGCCCTGGCTGCCTCACTGTGAACTTGGTATGTGCAGAAGTAAACAGCAGTCAAATGTAAGTCATACTTCTGTCAGTGATGCTTATGTAGAGCAATGTACTGGCAGAAAGTACTGTTTTCCCTCTTTCCTGGACGAAGACAAGATACAGAATATTTATACATGCTAATTTAAGAAAAAGACTTTGGATTCATACAGCCTATTTTGTAAAATTATATATTAGGAGTAAAGCATTACTTTAGATCAGCTTTATTACTAAACCTCCAATTTTCATGTTGTTCTTATTTGTTTACTTACTTTATTTATATACCATCCCATTAGTGCCAGTGCACTATTCTGGCTGATTTAACAACACATTCAAATATGTATTAAATAACCAATAAACAATAAGATTAAAATATATAACAGCAGAAAAAACAACGCCACATAAGCAATTTCCTGGTGATAGCAGGACAAGAGGTAAGCAATCCATCAACCAGGGTTGGTGGGGAAGGCCTTCCTGAAAAGAAATGTTTTAAGTTGCCTCCTAAATAACAGCAGGAAGGGAGCCAAGTGTAACTTCTTCAACAGCTGGTTCCATAAGTTTGGAGCCACCACAGAGAAGGTCCTGCCCCTTGTAGAAGATTTCAAGGCCTCCTTCGCGGTAGTCACACAGAGGAACCCAGCCAGGGAAGATCTGGTGGATTGGGCAGATGACATTGGGGAGAGACTCTCCAGCAAATAACATGGTTCCAAACTGGACTATCAAAACATTGAATCTGATCTGGGACACAACGAGTAACCAGTGAAGCGAGATGTTCTTATGCATCATCAAGTTATGTCCACATTATGGCAAGCATAGTAGGGTCTTTGAGATACAGTATGTGAAATGTTCCAGGAGTGTTCCCCATGAGCTTTCTATGGCCAAGTGGAGTTTGAATCCATATCTGTTGTGTCGTAGGCTGACACGATATCCACTACTTCATGCTAGTTCTCAGTAATTGTTAGCATCCCTCCCCAAAATAAAATTGAAAAGGGAGATTTTTATAGACTCCTCTTTTAAGCTTCTCCTTTTTTTATAGGCTAGTGGAAACAGTTTGCTAGCTACAAATGCAGCAGGCTGGTCAAGGAAAACAGAGCATTGCTCCCTTTGCCAACTGCTTGTGTTCCAGAACTTCACTTCCTCCATGGAAGCTGGGTGGCCTGATTTCACTTAGAGGGAATTCTGCCTGTGTAGAATGGTGAATTATTAGGTAGTATTACATAAAAATGGTGGTATACTAGACAGAATTAAGTGATGCTGTTTGTTTTAGCAAATACTTGTTGGATGTAGAGATTTTTTTCCTTTGTTTGGATTTTCCTTCATTTATTGATTTTTTATCCTCTTGCTTTTCTCTATGGCATGGCTCCCTTGCACTGAGTCTCAGGGGATTATTTTACTAAGTGCATTCTTTATTAAATGGCACATTTGGTGTCTCTGTTTTTATGATAGTCGGTTATCTACTGTAAGTTTATGATCCTGCATTTTTAATATGATTTTTTATTTTATAAACAAATACAACAACAAAATATATACAAAATACAAATACCGTAATAGTTCTTGCTAAATACTAAATTCTACCATGCACCCCATATCCACGGGACCCTATTGAACAATTACAAACTTCCTTTCCAAAATTGTATAGATTTTTGTTTAGAGGTTTTCCCTTTTCCTTTCACTAATACAAATGCAACAAATTTACCCCAAATAGCATAAAATATTAGAACTTAATTCCCTCTTTTCATATTGAGTTCAATAGTCAACTTATTTAATTCAATATCCCATACTTCACAATACTAGTCTTGTATTTTAATACCATTCTTGTCTTTCCAAAACCTAGATATTAATATTCTAGCACTTCTCATAAAGTTAGTAATCAATACCTTCGAGTAGTAATCAAGATCTAAGTTATCAAAAGCTAGCACTTGTCATAAAGTTAGTAATCAATACCTTCAAGTAATAATCAAGATCTAAGTAATCAAAAATTGACAACAAAGCAATTTTAGCATTAAATTTAGTATCTTCACCAAATATATCACATATTTCCTTGAAAATCAGTTTCCAAAATTTCTTAACCAATTTACAATTCCACTACATATGATAATATGTGCCAGTTTGTTCATCACATTTCCAACAAGCTTTGGAGCAATTCAGTTTTACAGGAGACAAATACCATCTTAAACAGACAGGAGTCAAATACCATCTTAAACAGATTTAAAAAATGTTTCCTTTATTCTTACCGACACTGACCTTAAAACTCTGATCCTCCACATTTTTATCCAATCCTCTATTTTAATTTCTGTCTTTAAGTAATTTTCCAAAATTAATTTCAAACCACCTGTTCCCAGAAGTCGACTCAGGGCAGCTCACAGTATATTGTGCATAAACAGTTAAAAACAACAATTAAATCTACAATAATACTATAATCAAGATGGGAATAAACAGCAAAATCAAGAAAAGTAAAAGTCAAGTAATGATAGGAGGGAAGGCTTGCTTAAAAAGCCAAGCTTTTAATTGGCTCTTGAAAATACCCAGTGAGGGTGCCAGGCAGATCTCTGGTGGCAAGCTGTTCCAGAGTCGAGGGGCCACCACCAAGAAGGCCCGGTTTCTTATTTTTTCTTTCCGGGCCTCTCTCGGCGTCAGGCCCCTCAGCCATCTTTCCTGGCTATGGCGAGTGACTCGAGTAGATCTAGGTGGGAGAAGGCGTTCTGCCAGGTATCGAGGGTCTAAACCGTTTAGGGCTTTGTATGTCATCATTAACACTTTGAAGTCAATGTGGAAACGAATGGGCAGCCAATGTAGAGCAGCCCAAATGGGAGAGATATGTTGGAATTTTCTCGTTCCGCTACGTAATCTGGCTGCTGCATTCTGCATCATTTGAAGCTTCCGCATCAGTCTCAAAGGTAGCCCCACATAGAGCACATTACAGTGGTCTAATCTCGAGATTACGAGCACATGGACTAGAGTGGTGAGGACCCACCATCAAGATGGGGATGCAGCTGGGCAATCTGCCACAGGTGGTAATTCCTCTTGTTCCAAAATTATATTATCAAAGCATCTTTCTGCATATCTTCATGTGATGATAGAAATTGTTCATACTTGGTGCATTCTCTACATTTACCATTACTGTAGTTTTCAACCATTCATTTGTCCAAATGTGTAGCTGAATATAATTATACCATGATAGTTTTAGTTTGAAGTTTAACCATAATCAATTCCTTCGATTTTATTTTACTCATCCAGTCCTTCAGTCTTGCAACACTTTTTTTCCTTAAACGATCCTGAAAAGAGCCTTGTGGTGCAGTGGTTAAAACGCTGTACTGCAGCTAAAACTGTGCTCACGACCTGGGGTTCAAATCCCAGGTAGCCAGCTCAAGGTTGACTCAGCCTTCCATCCTTCCAAGGTCGGTAAAATGAGTACCCAGCTTGCTGGGGGGGGGGCAATGTGTAGCCTGTATAATTAAATTTGTAAACCGCCCGGAGAGTGCTTGTAGCGCTATGGGGCGGTATATAAGTCCAAAAAAAAAAATCCTACTAAACCCTTTAGGTTTGTAGGAAAACCTTCTATTTCAGTCACTAATTTTAATGGTGAAGTTGAGGGACATAACTTCTCTCTATATCTATTCCATATATGTAACATATTTCTTAAAAAGGTGTTTTTCATATGATTTATTGCATTTCTTTTTACTACATTAAACAGATATTTTTTGAACATTCCCATTTATTTTGGATGATTCCATATCCCACCAAATTAATTTTTCTTTATTAGATATAATATCTCCAATAAATCTTAATTAATTTGCTATATAGTAGTTTTTTTCATTAGGTATACCTAAACCTCCTTTTTTGGGGGGGGGGTGTCTTATACCAATATCTATTATTATGATCCTGCATTTTGAGGCATTTCCTTTGCCAGCCCTGAAATAATCATTTCTGGAAAACTGATATGGTCAAAGAGGTTCCCACCTTTCCAATATTACACTCCTGTGACCTGGTGTTTCAGCTTTGCAGCACATGGGTTTGGCACCCATTTTTCTTGCTTCTCGGGATAACAATAAATATTTTGAGCACAAACTGGTGTTTTAAAGATCAGAGGTGGAAGCAAAAACATTTATTGGCTTGAATTAGCTGCTCAGGCCACAGTAAGTAGAACCTGATGACAGAAAAGATCCTCCCTCCCTCTTTCTGTCTGTCTCTCTGTGTTTTCTCCTTATTGTTGTTAAGTGCTAAACATTAGGTAGATTCAGCATTCTGCATTAGAACAGTTCAGATGCTTTCCTGCCCTGCATTAAAAGTTTGACTGTGAGGCTGCAGGGTTAGGCCTGTCCTCAGTGATAGCACCCCTGCTAGATATACAT